CGAATGATCAGGTGGTGCCGGGGGAAGGGGGGATGAGCCGCGGGCCAGAAGCAGAGGAGGAGAGGACAGATCACGACTGGGCAGGTGCGGCATCAGGCTGTGATGGCGAGGGAGTGGGATGGAGTGGGCGCGACAGTGACGAATGTAGCGGCGCCACAACAGCCAGAGCAGGGGATGGGAGGAGGGCGCACCCTTGAAGGACTTGGGCTGCTGCTCAAAGCCTGCGTAGGAGAAGGTCTTCTTGAAGGCCACGCCGTCCACCATGAAGCTGTCGCGCAGGCCGCCACCAGTCACCTGGGGGTGCACGCACATAAAGAGGCGACCCAGCGGGAGCCACAGACACCTCGTCAGAAAGGGGGACCGGGCGCAAGGCAGCTAGCTGGCATCGACGCCGCCTCTGCAGCGGACAACATGCCCCCGCTCTCGCCGCAACCGCACGTCGCAGCCCTGCCTGGGCAAGACCCTCTTGTCTGTGGCCCTGCCTCACGTAACCCCTGCCTGCGGCTGCCCTCACAACCCACACGCCCTCTGCCAAAAGCCGTCACCTACTCCACGGGCCTACGAAATGCTTCGGTACGCCTTTGGCGTCCCGAATCGTCTGCTGCCCGTCACAACACCGCCCTCCCCCTGATGCCCCCCCCCCACCTTCTTCATGCCGATCATCTTGAGATCCAGGGTGGCGGGGTCCAGGCGCGTCACAGCCGTCACAACCATGTCCGCAAAAAACTCCTTCTCACCAGACACCTGGGGGAGGGGGGAGCACAGGCAAATGTTGCGCGGCGCTGAGCCGAGCCTGCTGGCTGCAGGGGCGTGCTCTCACGCGTGCCCACCGCACGACTTGCCGCTTCTTGTCCAGGCTGGCATCCGGTGCTGGTCTGCGTGTGATGCTGAGCTCCTAGTTTGAGTCGAGTCCTGCCCCGCCCCACTCCCCCATCTCACTTTTCATACCCCAACACGCGCACCCCCTGGCCGTCTCTCTCTGGCAGGTGAAACCATTGAGAACACAGCCCTGGCACACAGTCTCCAACTGCCCTGCAGCCCAACCCCACTTATAAACACCCCGTCCTCACCAGCTTGCTGTTGAGGCTGGTCTCCGCGCACTTCCTCAGCAGGTCCCTCTTCTCGGCCTCGCTCTTGCCCTCCAGGCTCACAGCCAGCTCCTTCACCTTGGCCACGGCCAGGGTGGCGGCCTGGCGGTAGCTCTTGATGATGCTCTGGGGGTGGGGGAGGCATGAGGGAATGAGAATAAATGGTGGGCGGACGGGGTGCAGCGGATGGGGGGTGCAGCTACGCTTGTGGCCATGCCTGGAAGCTTGCAGCCAGCTGAAACCTTGCAAGCACGACCCGGGGCCGGACCGCTTGGATTTGAGGGAGTACGCGCCGGCAGCTGCCTGAACCCTGGGTGCCCCTGCGCCTCCGCTGCTGTCGCCTCACACCCCTCCCTCCCATCCAGGGCGGCCGCCCACCCGTGGGTGCACCCCCTCCTCCACGTAGGGCTTGGCCTCCCGCAGGAACTCCCCAGACAGCACCACCACGGTGGTAGTGCCGTCACCGACCTGAGGGGGGGAGGGCGCGCGGGGAGGGGGGGGCGCTGGCTGTGAGGGGGCGCCGGGCTGCAGGCAGGGGCGGCAATGGGGAGGGGGGGTCCATGTGCCAGCAGCCTGAGCAGTCGCTGTCTGCCGCGCCGAGGCTGCTGCCGCCTGGTCAACGGCTCCCGCAAAATGCAAGCGCCGATGCATGCGCACGCATCTTTGCACGCACACGCGAAACGCGCGCCGCGCCTGCACGCACGCGAACAACGCTCAACGGATGCGCAACGTCAGTCCCCCTCCTCGCAAAAAAGCGACCCCACCTCGCAAAAAAAACCCACCACCCCCACCTCTGCGTCTTGGCTCAGGCTGACGTCCACCAGCGTCTTGGCCGCGGGGTGCACCACGTCAAGCAGCTTCATGATGGTCGCGCCGTCGTTGCTGATGGTCACGCGGCCCTGGGGGCGCGGGGATGGAGGGGGGCTGAGAGTTGCGTGGGGACGGCCGCAGCCGCGGAGGTGCCGCTGGCATGGAAGCCCTGGAATTAGCCACAGGGTCTGGGCCAGCTGTCGATTTGTCTCATCTGCGCGCGGCCTGCCAGCGCCCTGGATCCTGCCGGCCGCCACAGACGGCGCCGCGC